TAGGCTTTGCTTTGGCTGCATACTTGGTTTTATAGAGGACACCCCTAGAGAGCTACAGTGACTGTAACCTTGAGAAACTGCATTTATTTTGCTTGAAACTTTGCCTGTGATTTTAAAATTCTTTTTTTTTTTTTTTTGAGACAGAGCCTCAAGCTATCCCCCTAGGTAGAGTGCCATGGCATCACAGCTCACAGCAACCTCTAACTCCTGGGCTCAAGTGAGTCTCCTGCCTCAGCCTCCCAAGTAGCTGGGACCACAGGCCACAACGCCTGGCTATTTTTTTTTGGTTGCAGCCGTCATTGTTGTTTGGCGGGCCTGGGCTGGATTCAAACCCGCCACCTTAGGTATATGTGGCTGGAGCCTTAGCCACTTGAGCCACAGGTGCTGAGCCAGATTTTAAAATTCTAATCTGAGAGGCCTCAAGCTTGTCTTTGCCTTGTTACATCTTGTAGGGAATCCCTGAAAGTGTCACTAGCAAAAACTAAGCGGGCCTGCCTTGTGGGGACCATGTTGTCTGTTTTGCCAGGTTAAAAGTTGGATGTTGAGTAGAGTAAATGGCATTTGTCTTTGTTGCCTATGTTATACAATTTTATCTCAGCCAGTATTAGAAATACTAATTCAGTTTCTTCTTGTAACTGGGGCATTCTGCAGAATTAGACCATTTCCAGCTTTAAGCCTATGAAAAAGAAATACTGCTTGACCATAATATTCCCTAGGATCCCAGGAAAGGTGGCTAGTACACGGATCTTTAAATTATGTTACAACTTTCCAATTGGCATTGTTTCATAAGCAGGGAGGTAAATGGGATAAAATTCTGTGTGTCCAAGCCTTTATGCTTTTATGACATGGTGAGCCAATTCAAAGAAAATATAATTTGCTTACAATAATTTTTCAAAGAGATGCTTCTGAGATAAAAGAGGTAAAGAAGGTTTTACCCAATTCTCAAGAAGTGGAAGATGACTTACTGCTTTCAACAAATGAATGTGCCCAATGCTTCTACCACCCCAACTTATAGGGATCAGGGTACGGGAGCCAGGGTAATACCCCCTCCAGCTCAGGCAGAAATGGGAGCCCCTATTACCTCTGCTGGAGCAGGGAGTATTAGTGATATAGACAGGCTAGAAAGAGCAATGTTCTCTCCTACACGCTCAACAGGATACTCATTCAGTCAGGGAGTGACTCTGAATCAGTCAGGGTAATTCCCATTAAGAAAAAATACCTATGGGGGGAATCACCTCCTAGGATCAGCACATCCCATGCTCAACCTCTGACTTACATAACTTGGAAAATAACATGCCTACCTATTGGGATGACCCAAGAAATATAAGAAATTTGTCCTCTATATTTGCTACTCATAATCCTAATTCGGAGAATGCACAAAACTTGCTCAATATGCTGCTTATCTCTAAAAAGCAGCACTTAGTCCCAGGAAGGGCGAGGGAGGATGCTGACCAGCCACATGCCAAGATTCCTGGAAATCTGGTCTGAGCAGTGGCTGCAAAGCTGTCCAAACACAAAGCTGGGATGGGATCTAAATCAAGAGGGTCAAGCCTATCTAGAGCATCACAGAGATTGTATTTTAGCATCCTCAGAAAAGGGGTTAGAAAGCAGTGTAGCTTTAATAAAGTTCAAGAAGTACAACTGAGGTTGAACAAAAACCCATCTGAGTTTTTGGAGAGAATTTTTAAAGCCTACTGGCAGTATACTGAGGTATATCTGGAGGCTCCCAAGAACCTCAAATTAGTGTGACTTTCATTAGTTGAAGTGCTTCTGAAATTCAGAAGAAGTTGCCACAATTAAAAAGAGCCCTTGGAATATTTATTTCTCAAATTGTAGAGATTGTTTTAGTGTGTTCAACAATTGGGATCAGGCACTGAAATATAAAGAGCAACAGAAAATGGAAAAGCAGGCCTCTCTGCAGGCTGGTGGTCTGTCTGGAATTCCCTAGGTAAAGAAACCCCCAGAAAGGTAAGCCCCTGAGAAGGCATCCAAAGATGGTTCCCAGGCAACGTGCCTATTGCAGTCATGAAGACCAATGGAAGAAGGACTGTCCATGTTTAAAAGGGCAATTCTAGGAGATAGAAGAAAAGGCTTGACTCATGTCAGAGGTGGCTGAGAGTGATCAGGAGTGGTGAGCCCTGGGAGTTCACTGGGGAATTATGCACATTTCCCATCTCCCAGATAATTGTCAGTGAGAAAAAGACAAATTGATTTCTTTATTGATACTAGAACCACTTATCCTGTCTTAAATACCCAAATAACAAAATTCTCAGTGCTGTGATTGTCATAGGAGTGTCTGAACACGTATGAAAAAGCCCATCTTACTACCGACAGATTATCAAATGGGTACCGTCAACCTACAGTAGTGTCTTGTACATGCCAGAATGCCCAAGCCCTTTGTTGGGATGAGACTTGTTAACTAAGTTAAATGCAACAGTAACCTTTACTCCAGGAAAAGTGGACATGAAAGTGATCAAAACAAGTTCATGCATTCCAAGCATTCTTGTTAAACTTGGCAAGAGTGGATGTGAAATCAGAGACATGTTAGTCCAAGTTTATGAGGATAATGCCAAGAAAAAAAGGGCAGTGTACAAATGGATGGTACATTTCTCTGAGGAGAGAGAAACATCACTGATGAAGAGAGGACAGGATGGCCAGTAATGAGAAGAACTGACAAAGACATTGTAAAAATTCATTGAAAAATTCTCATGGCTGACTGTGAAAAGCATAGCGGACCAAGCAAATATCAATAAAGAAACAGGAAAATCTTTTTTTTTTTTTTTTT